ATCATCTGGCACGGCCATTTATTCTCGACACAAGCTCCGATGCCTCGGTTCAAATGTCACATCACTAGCAGGGGGTAATACCACTAACTTGAGAAACCACGTCAGGTACAGTTCATATATCTGACTGCTTGTATTTATTGACAAAATTGTATACATGTGAAGTAAAATTAAAAATTGAGAATGCAGTGCATCGTCAATGCATTGTGATGCATCGTGATATCGAATTGAACCGAATCGATGACATGATAATCGTAACCGAACCGAACCGTGAGACCAGTGTAGGTTCACACCCCTAATATCATATATATATAACTCAATATATATAAAAAAAATGCATACCTCAGTAACAGGCAGCTCCAGCTGCACCATGTCTTCTGGCTTGGACACAGGAGCCTGGAGAGCAGTGTCCAAAAGAAGGATCCCATTCAAGTCCTTCCTACAGCCAACAGCGTAATCGTCCACAAACAGCACCTTATCCACGGCTGGGAAGTACTGACACCTCACCCGGCCCCCAGGTTTAGCTGTCACAAAACACACATACAACAAGAGAGGGTGATCATTAACATACATGCCAAATAATTAAACACAAGTAAAAAAAAAAAATATTAAGTTAGAAACTATATTTGACATGAAGGATGCTGCTTCAATTTTTTTAATGATTAATGTGTCATATATTTTATTATATAGTATTTAAATAGACAATAGATGGTATTTGTGTGTACAGGTGTGTTATATACAAATGCAAGGAAATGTGAATAAGACGTATTTGTGTGTTAAATAAATAAATGTATAAATAGTGTTGTGTATTACACGTTTATTGCCAATTTAAATGTTCATGAGATGGACTGCCTGAGGGAATCCAGTCAGTCTCCCTTACGACCTCTGACCCGTGACACCAGTTTCATGGGTTAATGAGGGACCTTTGAGTTCAAGCTTCTTCTGGTTGTGCCAGGTAAACTACTAAAGCTATGTACTTTGCACTTACAAGTCAGGTTACATCAGGTCAAGTGTAAGTGAAGGAGTCTAGGAGTAACACTCACCTGTGCTTGAATGGCCAGATGAAACGCTCCCTTTTTAAAAGGCAAAAGTCCGCCGTTCTGATTCCGTGTGCCTTCTGGAAACACCCACAATCGGATCTAAGGAAAGTTCAATGCAATCACAAAATGAGATTGTTTACAGCACCTCTTCTTTACAACATCCCTACATCAGCACTAAAGACTGATAGTATTACATCATGCAATATACAGTGGGTATAGAAAAGAATCCCCCCCTTTACAATAATCCCATTTTGTTGCTTTGCAGTAGGGCTGTGCGATATTGAAGAAAAATGTGTTATGCGATACATTGTTAAATAATACTATATTCGATATGCGATACGATATTGCTTTAAGTGTGCAAAATCAATTTAAATTATTTTTTTAAATATTTAAAAATGAAAATTATATAACCAATATATATGTTTCACATTCTTTCTTGGAAAAGAATGCATCACTACAACTTCTGAAAGTGACCAGCAGTGTTTTAGCAGTACATAAAAAGTAATGTCACAAATCAGAAAACGTAATTTTAACATCAATGTGAACGACAAAAAAATTTATGACACTAATTTTTAAATCATTGTGACTTTGCTTTCCATAT